CCTTTGCACCACAACTCATGAAGACTATATAATAAAATCTAGAGTGAGGATGGCAAGAGACCCACTCTAGAGAAAACACAGCTCTTTGTGTCATGATAAATGACTAAATATATGTATAGTAAATTTATATATACATATATATATACACACACACACTCTAAATAAAATATATAAATGACTAAATATATGTACGTGTGTGTATATGTGTACATGTATGTATATATATGTGTATACACACACACACACACACACACACACATATATATATATATCTTCTTGCTGAGGTGGTCGGGGGGCAAGAGTGTATCTGATCCACTGTACTTATTTTCAGCCTGGGTTGATATGTTAGCTGGTTTTCTTGTATCTCTGGTATGTAACCAGATATGTTGCTTCATTTTTGTTCAGATCCTTTGTTGTGCAGGGTAGATTTCTTGGTAGAGGAAGAGGAGCAAGAGATTTGGAAATGTCAGTGATATAAAAACAGAAGCTATCGATCAAAATTTAAAATTTTTTAAATCAAAAGGTTGGTAAGAGAGGGGCAGCTAGGTTGCACAGTGGATAGAGCTCCGGCCTTGGAGTCAGGAGGACCTGAGTTCAAATCCAGCTTCAAACACTTGACACTTATTAGCTGTATGACCCTGGGCAAGTCACTTAACCCCGATTGCCTCACCAAAAAGACAAAAAAAAAGGTTAGTAAGAGAAGTGTAATTACATATAACAAAAAACAAAACTGAAACTATAAGCCCCAGCAATTATTCAAAGGCCTATAAAATGTACATACCTGTGTTGTGTAACTCTACCTTGCTTATACAAGGTGACCCAATTTACTGTAAAAAGATAGAGCATCCTTCAGTATTACAGAAATCTGTGATCTCATCAGTATAGATTCTTCCTTCAGGGATGCAGATCATAATGCTTCAGTGCTTTAGTAGATGGTCTTCAGAAGTTAGTACTTACAAACAAACCTCCACTCGCTAGTTTCCATATTACCATTGAGGGCACCACCAACCCCCCCACCCCAGTCACCCCAACCTACAGCCTAGGTGTCATCCTGGACTCCTCACTCTTTCACTGCCCTCCCCCATCTGTTGCCAAGTCCTCTTAATTATACCTTTATCCCATCTCCCATATACATCCCCTTCTGTCCTCCAACGCCGCCTCATCTCTTTACATGTAAACTTGCAACAGCTTTCTGATTGTTCTTCCCACCCCAAATCTCTCTCCACTCCAGTCTGTCCTCTACTCAGTTGTCAAATTGCAAGGGTGACCATGCCACTCCCCTACTGAAGAAATCCCGGTGGCTCCCCATTACCTCCAGAATCAAATATAAAATCCTGTTTGGCTTTTAAAGCCCTTCATCACCTACCTCCTTCCTACCTTTCCAGACTCCATACACCTTCTTCCTTCTCATGTACTCTGTGATCTAGGGACACGGGCTTCCTGGCTGTTCTTTGCACAAGACGTTCAAGCTCCAGACTCCATGCATTTTCACTGACTGCCTCCCATGCCTGGAATTTCTTCCCTCTTCACCTCCACGTTTTTGCTTCACCAGCTTTTTTCAGGTCCCAGGTAAAATCTACCTCGTAAAGCGTTTCCCCAGTCCCCCTTAGCTGGCGCCTTTCCTCTGTGGATAATCTCCAGTTCACCTTGTATGTAGCTTGTTTGTACGTAGCCGTTACACTGGAAGCTCCATGAAAGCAGGAACTTTTATTGTTGTTGTTGTTGTTTTGAGGGGGGAAGAGGGCGCAGTGTGGAGAGGTGTTTTTGTTTTTTTATTACTGCTCTCGTTCAGTCACTTCAGTTGTGCCAGCCCTTTGTGACCCCATTTGGGGTCTTCTCGGCAAAGATACTGGAGTGGCTTGCCATTTCTTCTTCAGCTCATTTTACTGATGAGGAAACAGGCAAACCTGGTTAAGTGACTTGCCCAGGGTCACGCAGCTATTTGAACTCAGGTCTTCCTGACTCTAGACCCGGCACTCTATCCACTGTGCCATCTAGCTGCCCCACTCTTTATATCACCAGCACTTAGTAAAGTGCTTAATAAAATGTTGTCTAGTCGACTTTATTACCAACCCTTTGAGGATGAACCTATCTGAACCAGCACATACATTTGTACATTGTCACAGTCGTTCCAATTTTGTAGGGCCTTCTAGGGCTTGTGAGACAAGCTTTGAGAATATAGGGCCGACTGTCTCCCCAGCATGAAGGAGGAATCAGGGTAGGACTTTGGTGTGGAGCAAAATATACGAAGAGCTCATCAAAATAACTGCTCCAGCCTGACTGTAACACACCTTCATTGGACATTTTGTTTTCCGTGTTAGAATTGTAAGAGAGGCAGTGTGGACTAGTGGACAAAGAGTCAGAAATATCTGGGTTCAAGTCCCACCTTGGCTGTGTTACCTTGGGCAAACCACCAAAACCCTCAGTGATCTAGACAACTCTGTAAGAGTCTCAGTTGCAAAGATGGTGCCAACTTCCATTGATAGGTGGAGTTTCTTTATCCAGAAGTCACCTATGCCAATGAAATCTCAAGTCTAGTCCCCTATTGCTATCCCATCTTGGCATTTAGAATGGCCATGTGTGTGTATGAATGAATGTATATAGGACTGGGAGAGACTTAGATGGCCATCTCTCTTTAAAAGTTATCCAGATGAGCTCCGTTCTTTTTTTTTCCTCAGTTAAGTTGGTTCAAAAAAATTTTTTTGTTGAATTTATGAAATAAACCTGACTGAGGCTGAAGAATTTGTTGAAATTATCATATGTGCATGTTTTTATTATTTATAATTATGTCAGAAGCATATCTTCAGGCTCTACCTTTGGGCTTAAGGACCCAAATATGGACCATGACTCATCATTAAACAAGGAAGGATTTGAAGTTGGGCACTACAAAGGGGAGAAGGGTAACCATTGGCCATAAGGTGTTACTTTCAACTGAACTCGTATAATGAGGAGGGAGGGTGGAACGCAAAGGGTTTTGGAATTAAAAAGAGATAAATTCAGTCCAGAATGGAAAGCCATGTTATGAACAGGTTGTGGGGGCCCAAGGCCGAAAGACCTAGTGGATCAGACCACAGGAACTGAGGCCTAGTTGAAAAGAGAGATTTAATCATCAAAGACTGAAATGGCCTAGAGGGTCCAGCAAGTCAAATTTGATTCAGCTACACTTGCCTAAATAGAAAACAGGAGGAAAGACAAGAAACACTTGATGGTATCCAAGCTTAGATACCCATTGGAGTAAGGCTGAGGTGACTTGAGGTCTAAAATCTAAAGTAGGGGGATAGCTTTGGAATCCTTTAGAGAAAAGTCTTCTTTGACTGGAGCTGGTTGGTGGGGGTGGCATGAAGTAAGATAAGGGTGAACTGCCATGAGATAGGACTGAGCTGGGGGTGGGGAAGAGAATAGAGAACCTGGCTCAGGCAGGCATTCCCACACCCCAAATTTAGATCAAGAGAAGCAGACACAGGAGGAGTGGAGAGGCGGATTCCTAAAGGCTAAGACAACAATAGCCTAGCTAGAAAAATCAGTGACAAAGGAAAGAGAAGGAGTTAATGTTGGGACTAAGCAGGAGATTAGGCAGGAGTGAGTCAAAGAAGATTGGACCCCTAACGTTCCTTCTGTGGCGCTTCATGTTGCATTAAGCTGTAAGAAACATGACAGATATTTCCTTTCACCTCTCCCATTGTCTACTATGAGCTCTCCCCATCCCTTGTATGCTTCCTGTATAGCATGTCTGAAGCTAGAGCTTCCTTTTAAAATGTGGGAGGTAGTATGTGTGTTCTTATCAGGGACTGTCCAAAAAAGAAAAGTCACTCCTTTAGTGGGCTGTATTCTAGAGATTTATTAAAAGTACAGGACAAGTTTTAAGAAGTGAGAGACTAAAGGGAGAGAAAGGGGGTAAAAAAGGGCAAGGCAAGTTGATATAGCAGATGGGGGCAGCTTTGGAGTCAGGGTGGTGGTGTTCAATTGTGACCAACTCTTCATGACCCTGTGTGGGGTTTTCCTGGCAAAGATACTGGAGTGATTTTGCCATTTCCTTCTCCAGTGGATTAAGGCAAACAGAGGTTAAGTGACTTTCCCAGGGTCACACAGCTAATAAGTGTCTAAACCTGGATTGGAACTTCAGTCTTTCTGACTTCAGGTGCAGCACTCTGTCCACTGAGCCATGTAGATATCTCTAAAAGATGTCCGGATGATCTGAGTTCAGATTCCACCTAGGGCATATACTGGTTATGTGGCCCTGAGCATGACTGCTCCAGGCAACAAAGACCCTAAATTACAGAACAGTTGGGGGAGGGAGCTTCCTTACCAGAAGCTCTCCCCATTTATTACATCATTAGTCTTGAAAAAAGATGGGAGGAGTCAGAGGGGAACCCCTTTCCCCCACGCACATACTTTATAGACATGCATGTTTACACACACACATATACAGCAGTCAGGGATCAAATGAATGCAAAAGGGTTAATTATAATAATATGTTTATGTTATAAACTGATTGCTTTGTCAGGTAGGTCAGCTTTCAAATACTGGCTGGACTGTGCAGCCTCTGAGGCAGTCCCCGTCCCTGTCCCTGTCCAACTCTGAGATACCACGCTTCAATAATGACCACAGTCCAGCATTCCCTTTTCTCACCCCGATAAGTGGAGAGCAAACATGGATGATAGAACTGGATGTGTGCCTCCAGGGAGAGTCAGGGAAAAAGTAGCTAGGCCCTGCATAATAGAGGCGATGGTGGCATTCTGGATAGAGCCCTGGACTTAGAGTCGGGATGGCTTTAAATCCCAGCTCAGACACATAGCTTTGTGACTCTAGTCAAGTCATCTAACCACTCTATACCTCAGTTTCCTCATCTGTAAAATGAGGGGGTTGTTTTTGATGGCCTCTGTAAGGTTCCTCCTAGATCCAATTCTGTGATCCTTTAAGCAGTGATAATTTCCCAGCTTTAACAACACAGACAAGTCCATGGGGCAGCATAATTTGAAAATATCATTTCTATGTTTCAGGTTATGCAAGACAAGATAATCTGCCTCCCAAAAACCACGCAGCCTTCTCAGAACCACTCATCCGTCCCTAACACATCTCACGCCATCGACACTTCAACGCCACTGCCTCCACCACAGCCATCTGCCAGCCCTGCCACTGTGGAAATGAAGGGGCGGAAGACTGACTTGGACCTTCAGCAGTACAGTTTTATCAACCAGATATGTTATGAGAAGGCCCTCCACTGGTATGCCAAGTACTTCCCTTACCTCGTCCTCATCCACACCCTCATCTTCATGCTCTGCAGTAACTTTTGGTTCAAGTTCCCTGGCTCCAGTTCGAAGATAGAACACTTCATTTCCATCCTGGGGAAGTGTTTCGACTCTCCTTGGACCACCAGGGCTTTGTCCGAGGTGTCCGGGGAGGATTCTGAAGAAAAAGACAACAGGAAGAACAACTTACAGAAAGCAACTTATCCCTCCCAGTCAACTGCCGATAACAACCTGGTCCAGTCTCAGTCATTGAAGTCCATACCTGAGAAGTTTGTGGTCGACAAGGCCTCTGCTGGGGCACTGGATAAGAAGGAAGGCGAGCAAGCTAAGGCCCTCTTTGAAAAGGTGAAGAAGTTCAGGATGCATGTGGAGGAGGGCGACATTCTCTACAGTATGTATGTCCGCCAGACTGTCCTCAAAGTACTCAAATTCCTGATCATCATTGGTTATAATAGCGCCCTGGTTCCCAAAGTTCAGTTTACAGTCAGCTGTGACATTGACATTCAGGACATGACTGGGTATAAACACTTCTCCTGCAATCACACCATGGCACACTTATTCTCAAAACTTTCCTTTTGCTACTTATGTTTTGTAAGCATCTACGGACTAACGTGCCTTTACACTTTATATTGGCTGTTCTACCGGTCCCTAAAGGAGTATTCTTTTGAGTATGTTAGGCAGGAGACGGGAATTGATGATATACCAGATGTGAAAAATGATTTTGCTTTTCTGCTACATATGATTGATCAATATGACCCTCTTTACTCTAAGAGATTTGCCGTGTTCCTATCTGAAGTCAGCGAAAATAAATTGAAACAGTTGAACTTAAATAATGAGTGGACAGTTGATAAACTGAGGCAGAAGCTGCAGGTGAATGCCCAGAACCGCCTGGAGTTGCCGTTGATCATGCTCTCTGGCCTTCCAGACACCGTCTTCGATATCACTGAGCTGCAGTCTTTGAAACTTGAAATCATCCAGAATGTCATGATCCCAGCCACCATTGCCCAGCTCAGCAACCTGCAGGAGCTCTCTTTGCACCAATGCTCTGTCAAAATCCACAGCGCTGCTTTGAGCTTCCTAAAGGAAAACCTGAAGATCTTGAGTGTCAAATTCGACGACTTACGGGAATTGCCGCCCTGGATGTACAGCCTCAGGAATCTGGAGGAGCTCTACTTGTACGGTTCTCTGGGCCACGATATCTCTAGGAACATCACTCTTGAATCTCTGCGGGAACTTAAAAACCTGAAGGTTCTCTTACTCAAGAGCAACATCTCCAAAGTCCCTCAAGCGGTGGTTGATGTTTCCAGCCACCTCCAGAAAATGTACATCCATAACAATGGTACCAAGCTCGTCATGCTTAACAACCTGAAGAAGATGACCAACCTGACAGAGCTGGAGCTGGTCCACTGCGATCTGGAGCGCATCCCCCACGCCATCTTCAGCCTGCTCAGCCTCCAGGAGCTGGACCTGAAGGAAAACAACCTCAAGTCGATAGAGGAAATCATGAGCTTTCAGCATTTGCGGAAGCTGACGGTTCTTAAACTGTGGCATAACAGCATCACCTACATCCCAGAGCACATCAAAAAGCTCACCAGCCTGGAGCGCCTGACTTTTAGTTACAATAAAATAGAGGTGCTGCCTTCTCACCTCTTTCTATGCAACAAAATCAGACACTTAGATCTGTCTTTCAATGACATTCGGTTTATACCACCGGAAATAGGAGTGCTGCAGAGTTTACAGTATTTTTCCATCACCTCTAACAAAGTGGAGAGCCTCCCCGATGAACTGTATTTCTGTAAGAAACTGAAAACTTTGAAGATTGGGAAAAATAACTTATCGGTCCTTTCACCAAAAATCGGGAACTTACTATTCCTCACCTCTTTGGAGGTCAAAGGCAATCAGTTAGAGGTCCTCCCTCCGGAACTGGGTGACTGCCGGGCGCTGAAGCGATCGGGCTTTATTGTGGAAGATGTACTGTTTGAAACGCTGCCTTCTGATATTCGGGAGCAAATGAAAGCAGAATGACTTAACTTTCTTCAAAGTTTGACTGAAACATGCTTCTACCAAATACATTATAAATAACTAGGTAGTCTAATGCCTTTACTTTTTTTTTCTTTTTTCACACAAAACAAAATGTACAGACAGATTTGAAGTAAGGAGTACATATATTTTTAATAAAAATTTACTTGTATTTTTTCAATGTTAATATTTTAAAATTTTATTTGTCCTGGAAACTAATGTCCCCTTATTATTCTTTTGTATTGGCAAAAACAGCTAGTTCCATCTGCTGGCTTTGTTTTGTTTTGTTTTAAGTTCATTTTATTCTCAAGAAAAGGACGAAGTCTGGAAATGCACCATGTTGTGGATTGTTTGTAATAGATGAAGGTATTTTGCTGAGAGCAAATGTGGGTCCAAGGTCTTTCTGTTGTTTGATGTACCAAGTGGTCTTGCGAGGGATGAAGGTCATTTTCCTCTTACCATCTGGCTTTTCCATTGACGGGATTCATTGGTTCTCCTTCTTTAAGGAATTAGAAAGAATTAAATTTCATTAGAATGAAAGGACCAAATTCATTGGTTCTCTTTCTGCTCAGATGAAACTGAAGTCAATGAGCACAGTAACAAGAGGCACACAGATATAAGGTTGCCATTAAGTACTCACTGTACTCTGCAACCCCAGACAGTGTTGGTGGGATCATGGGAGAGTTGCAATGGCCTTGGAATGGTGGAGGATTGTTAGTGAAAGAAGAGAGCCGCCTTACCTTATTGGTGTCACGGGGTGAAGAGAGAGTTGAATGGATTTGCACTTTTTGATAATTATTTTTAGAAATCAGATTTTCAAATGAAATTCTCAGTGGTTTGTTTATCCTTTGAATCTTGATACTGCTATGTAGCACTGGTAAACAACCTTTGACAGACTCGATTTATTTTAATATTCTAACTGGTAATGGAATTAAAAATCATGAAATTAGAAGCCTGCTTTTTCAGTAACTCAATCATCTGCAAAATCTTAATATGTGGGTGCATTCGATAGGAAATTTTACCTACTAAAACTATGCTCAGTAGCCGGTGAACTCTGCTGTTTTTTTCCTTCCTTTTGGGCAGTGTGGCAGTTGTAATCTATTTAAGGTTTGCCACTTGCCCCCAAATAAACAAAAGGCTATAAAATAATCTGTTTATATATTAATCAATTTCTCTCCAAGCCTTTCTTTTCTGTGAACATACTGATGGCTGCTGGTTGTTCAAGCACAAGGTTGTTAAACCTCTCTGCTATGCTTGACTTAAAAGTAGGGTCTCATCCTAAATGATTCAGTTATGTTTTTTCTTTTAAGTGTGAACAAAATTGTTAAGTGGTTTTCACTTAGCAGGTTTTCCTTGATAGTCAATATTGGCCCTATCTACTCTTGCACTTAGCAATGCAGAAATATTTGGATCTCTGCACGAAAAGTGTCCATGGACTCTTAAGCTTTGAGACAAGAAGATACAAAAATGATGTTTGCATATATTGGGATTGATCATAAGACCTTTGTCATAGTACCAAATTTTCATTGCACTGAGCACCTCCTAGTTCAATGGAGCTTCTCTGACTTACAGCGAAGTCAGAGTGATGGAAGGCCTCAAAAGCCTTGCTTTAAAAATGAATTGTTCAACAAAGAATTCAGTGGCTTAATGTTAATCTGCTGCAGACTGCATCGATAGGAACTGTTCAACATGCATTTGTATCTCACTGCTTCCACTTTCCAGTAGGCTGCCATATTGAAGAAACACTTCGCATTATTCTAGTCACCTAATGATATAACCAAAGTGATGTTACAGGGCCTGCTGAACATTCTGTGTTTCCAAGTGCCAACTGGCCAACTCACTCATGTGAGACTGGGAATGAGGGTTAAAAACCCTGTGTGTTTGAAGTGCTCTTGTGGTTACATTTGCTCCCCAATTAACCATTCGTTTCCAGAATGTTGTTGTGGTCCCTGTCGACACTGGTTGTGAAGATGATGTGTTCTATTTAGAAATGTGGTGTACTCTAATTTGAATATTTTTAAACTTTCCGAAAAGATTTTTTTTTTGCCACCAGGAAGAACAAATGAACCGTATTCCAGAAGTCTGGACCCCAGGGGAACCCGGGAAGGGGGTGCTGTATTTTTCTGAATTCTAGGCATAGGTTTGCTTTTACACGCAGCCCTTAAAGAAAAAAAAGTGCCATCGAGATTAAAAGCTTATTTAAGCAACTATTCAGCTTTCTAAGTCTATAAGCATTTATTAAGCACTTGCTTTGTGCGTGAGGCATTTCCATCACTTATGCCAATGTTGGCAGAATTGCAAGGCCAAATCAGCCTAGCTTATTTTTTATTTGTAATAGAGCTATTCCGAGCTTCCTTATCTGCCAAAATGAGGCTGATAATAATAATAATGATAATCTTTAAACTAGTTTTAAAAATGAAACAGCACGAAACCTTTCAGCTTTGGCTTAAAAAGTAAATGTATAGACATTTCTCTGGGGACAGGGGAAAGGGGCCTGCCCCACCCGAGGACATACAATGCACAGACTTAGGTATTTCCTGGTTTTCTCTTTTTTAGCTTTCTAATTTCCCAGTTCACATTTGTTGAAAAAAAAAAAGTTTGGCCTTTATTAAAGAAAACTCAGGTAAATAAGTAGCTTGGCTTTCCTAAGGCCATTTTAGTCATCTGTGGGGTCTGTTTATGTCCCCATTTTCAGCATTTTAGAAGTGCTCTTGATAGAAGTGTTTCCCCTCAATAGGACCTATAGGAGGCTACCTATGTAAATATACAGGCACCCCATGTTTTCAGCTGTTTAAAGCTTGATACTCACAATGGTGAACCGTTTTTGTTATGTAGAGTAACTCTCCAAGAGCAGACATCCCTTTCATTGATGAACTGATTGAGACAGCACATACACTGCATTTCCAAGTGAAGCCTGTCTATGAATTAGCTCGCCAGTGGCTCTGCAAATGTTTGATGTTCTTGACCCCATGACCTCTGACTGCAAGATTTGGGGGGATCATTAGTAAAGCTCTTGGATCACACGAACACAATTTCCCCCCCTGCCATTTGCGGCATGGTTTCTAGCCCATTAAATCACCTATGGTGCTAATCTAGACTGGTCTTCACAATCTGTGCTGTTGTACACTCATCACAAAGAAAAAAAAATGTTATTGTAAATATCTCGTCGTCTAATTCCTTGATAGGAAGTGGGGTTCAGTGGAAAGAACCCTGGCTGTGTACTCATTCAAATGATGCCTCTGATATTTAATACCTGAACAGCCTGGGAGAAATCATTTCACCTCCCCAGTTCTCAGTATCATTGTCTGGAAAACGAGGGGATTAGACTAGATGTCCTCAGAGGTCATGACCTTCCAGTTCTAGATCTCCGAATTATGAGCATAGTAGACCAGCCTTGGGGAATCGAAGACCTGGGTTCAAGTCCTTCCTCTGATAACACCCTAGCTTGGCAGCTACAGGCAAGCCACCTTAACATCTCAGTGCCTCCAGGAGACTCTTAATATGATATGATAAGATGAGTTGTCAACAGGCATCTGGGGGGGGGGGATGTCTCCACACTGAGAGAGTCTGACCAGAAAGACTCCAAAAAGTGACCTTTCTTTTGTACCTCTTGGGTCAGGGCCCCAGCTAACCTGAGGAAGGGGTATAAAATATCCCAGAAGGCCTAGAGCAGAAAAGAGATGCTTGCAGAGGGACATCATAGTTGCCTTCAGGGCTGTCATGCAAGAGAGATTAGACTGATTCTACCTGGCCCCAAAAGACAGGATTAAGAACAACGGGTAGGAGCTGCTTAGGGACAGATTTAGGTTTTGTGTAAGTAAGGAAAAAACTTTCCCACAATCAGCTCTCCAAAAATGTAATGGGTCACCTCAATAGGTAGTGAATGAATGGACTCTTCCTCTTTGGAGATCTTCCGGGAGACGCTGGAAGACCACTTGTTGGCCATGGTGTCAAGGGGATTCTTGTTCATGGATTAGCTGGCCTCTTGGATTCCTTCCAGCAACAAGAGTCTGCAACTGAGTCTGTGGATTGCTTGGGATGAGGCAAATAGAGAAAGACCACTTGGCCCTTGTCTTACTCCTAGGATTTGTCATTATTGCTAATATGAAAGAACCAGAAATAGATTGGCTGATTTATGGATGTCCTTTTAGCAACATTTTCTGCCACTCCCTAAAAAAGTGCACAAAATGGGTATTACTATACTTCATTTGCCAAAAATTATGGTAAGAAAATATAGGCTTTTATATAGCTTCCTTCCATGGAAATGATTTCTCCTAAACACATCTCTGTATTCATCACCTATCAAGCACTCATTCAATTCAATGACCACTTATTAATAAGCATTACATATTAGACACTGTACAAGGCAAAAAACGAGATAAGAATGAAGTATTCCCTGACCTCAAGGAGCTTACATTCTAACTGAAATGAAGTGACCAGTCAACATCTACTGATACGAACCATCTACAAACCATACATCATTACAAAGAATTTTACCAATACTCCGGAGTAGTCAATAGAGCATATATTTCACCATAAATGCATGCTTTTTGAAGCCCCATTTAAAGTTCATAGTAAATCTGAAATGTTATTCCCCATCAGTGATCCTATTAATGGTAAAATTTGGCCTCTCAAATTAACATTTCATAATGGGATTGCCAAATTGGCATCACAAGGTAATTAAATGGCTAGCTAGGTGGTTGTGTCTTGGAAGACCTAGTGTCCCTAAATCCTTGGTACTGGGAATTACTTTGTACTGAGAGAAACTAGGGAAGAACTGTTGAGCAACCTTAGACTGGATCTCCTTTTGGTTGTTCAGGATGGATAAACCTCACTGGTAGAAGGTGAGTACCTCTTTAGATTGTGAGCTCCTTGAGGGCACGGGCTGTCTTTTGCATCTTTGTATCTCCAGCACATAGCACAGTGCCTGAGACAGAGTAGGTGCTTAATAAATATTAAGTGACTGACTGGAAACCTAAGCATACCATATCTGCCCAGCACCATCATCCCTTTCCCTAGTAGTCCCTAGGTACCAAGTGTCCACTGGTCCTTGGACTTCCCAGCAAAGTTCAGATGACACTGCTTGGCAGTATAAAAAATAAACATTTTTAAGAAGGCTTTTTATGTCAAGTCTGTGTAAAAGAATAAAAGAGAATGGAGATGGTGTGGTCTTGGTTTTATGTGATTGGCAGCTATTTAATAAGTAATGTCCTATGAATTCACCTGCTTCCTCTGTATCCATCTTCTCCCACCCAGTCTCTCCTTTAAGGGGATATTTTTGTTGTTGAAGTGCTACATCTTGAGAGCTCAGTCCTTTGCATTCTCCAGACATCAGTGTGTGTGCTCATATTGTCAGATCCTAAAAAGATCTCCAAGACTGTCAAGAAAAGTTGGAAAGTTGACATAATGGAGAATCATCTTAAACCGACGGCAAAAAGTGTCTTAATATCATTGGCCGTGTTGTATTATATTGTAGTACAGTTCCAACAATCTTAAGTGAAATAAAACTTTTTTCTAATTTAAAATGGAGAGCTATCTTTTTCAGGGTGGGGTGGGAAGGTGGGGGAGATTTGTGTTTTCTGTATCTGTAGTTCCCAAAGGTGAGGAGAGGGGAAGGTTAGTAGGTAATCTGAGAAGGGAACACCCACTTGTGGCTGGAACATGGGGGACCGTTTTGAAAATTTCATAACAAGAGGCAATGTAATATAGTATGAAGAGTCTTGGACTTGAAGTCAGAAGAGACCTAGGTCCACAGCATTGCCAGATTTCTGAGTTAGAGGAGGCCTCAGTGGCCATGCAGCACGATGCTGATCTGAAAACAGAATCCTCACTACAGTATATCCAACCAGTGGTCGTCCAGCTTAGGCTGAAGACAATCTTTCCAGGCAGCTGGTTCTATCTTGGAGGGTTCTAATGGTCAGTTTTTCCTTATATCAAGTCAAAATTTGTCTCTTGGCAACTCCTACCTATTGCTGCTAGTTGTGCCTTCAGGGCCAGATGGAACAAACCCTAATTCCACTCCTAACTGATGACAATTACCACGTGTGTCACCCTTGAGCCTCCTTTTCTCAGGCTAAACATGCCCAGTTTGTTAGGTTGTTTTTTTAACTTGTCCTCAGATGACTTGAACTTGAGGCCCTACACCATCTTATTTGCTTGCCTCTGGATGCTTTCCAGCTTAGCCATTTCCTTCCTAATCCCTAGAACTAACAGATTGGCTGAAGAGGTGGGTCAGCTAGGGCAGGGTACAGGAGAGCTGTCACCACTTTATTCCTGAAAGCAATACTTCTTTTAATGCAGCCCAAGTTTGCATTTTTTTTTCTTTATTTTGAAGGCAATGGGGGATAAGTGACTTGCCTAGAGTCACACAGCTAGCTAGTAAGTGTCTGAGGCAAGATTTGAACTCAAATCCTGACTCCAGGGCTGGTGCTCTATCCACTGCCCTGCCTAGCTGCCTCTGCATTTGTTTTTTAATCATACAGTTGAGACATACTGTGTCGGCAGCACAAAAACTTCCTATAACCCATGATGCAGAATGCCAAATTGGGGGCTTACCCCTAAACTATCTCTTTTTGATTTGTTCCAGCTCAGAATTGCTTCTAGGAATTCTCTGAATATAGCTCAGGTCTAGGACTCCACAGATGCTGGTTTTTGTTTTTTGTTTTTTTGACTCACATAAATTAAACTTAAGTGAGGCAAAGTTTCATGAAGGTCAATCTCTTCCAGAGTCATTGGAGTCCAGTGGCAAGACAAACGTCAAGAGGACTAGCAATGGCTCAGGATGCAGTGGATGACCTTGGCATCTTCAATGTCTAACCAAGCTCTAAGCATTCCACAGTGCCTGCTTTTCCCATCTTCATGGCCTGTTGGAACAAATTGTTCACATCTGCCTATTCCACCAGGAATTCTTCACATGCTTGGGGTAGACGCCCCACCCCAACTTACCTATGGGTTTGAGGCCTTCAGTTATCCTCAACCTGGTTTAGCCCAGTCTGCCAAGGTGGTTTTATTGGCGTGTAGCTGCTGTGCATGCTACGGTTTCTTGGAGCACAAGAGAGAGTTGGGTGGCAGCTAGACACTGTGAGAAATGAAAAGTCAAGTTTCCACATAAGTAGATAAGAAATCAGCACAGACAGGCTAACTTCTCCATCCGGGGGGGAGTGATAACATAATTCTAGGCACATAATGTATGTTAGGGGTGGGGCATATAAGGAAGATTGTAACCCGGAAGGATTAGGACCAATCCTGATCCAGAAAGAAGGAGTTAGGCAATTTCTAACTATAAAGCTTCTCCTGGCTTCTTTTACCATGAGCATTTCTCTCCTTCCAAGGAGGTGCACCCGCTTCTCTCAAGAATCGAAAGGATGCACGTCAACCTCTTTGATAAAAAGTCTTTGAGACACCAGTCTTCAGAATTGAGTCTAGGGTCATCTTTATAACAGACATCAAAGTTGGAAAGCATTCCTAAAAAAGCTCAGGAAGCCTTCACACCAGAGGTTCTAGTCTTCCCTAAACACCCATATACAGCAGATGTTGGTAAAAGGATCTCTAGATCCTATACAAGCTGTCCTATACAAGGTCCTATTCAAGGCAACAGTGCATATGCTGGGCAAAAGAAAGCCTTTATTCTACCTCTCACCAAAATGCAAAAAAAGGAAAAAAAATATGTATATATATATATATGTATAAAGAACCTATCATAGCCAGTGAGCCATCAATATACTTATCCTCCCTCTCTAGAACTTCTCCAGAGCCCAATACCAGCCCCTGCCCTTTATGTTACAAACCTGAGGGCTTAGATTTCTCCCAAAGAGAATCAAAGAGTTTCCATCAAGGCAATTCTCAACATTCTAGTGAATTCCAATTTGCTCTAAAGACCCCTATGTTCACTGAGCCTTAGTATATATATCACTCAGGGCTTGGACTTCCACAGAACAGCAATGAACAAGACAGGCTACCCTCTTTGCCCTCAGATGTGTACTATCAAAATAATTTACAATAATAGTGGAGGGCAAAATCTAGATCTTTGGCTTAACTATATTGTGACTTTAGTCTCTTGCTTTTCATGGGGTAAGGATGGGGAGGGAGAGTAGGAAGAAATATGATATGTGTTATCATCCTCTGTAAGAAGTTGGTGATGCCTCTCTCTGTAGAAGGATTCTCATATTAAAGGTTGCTAGAGGGACAAAGCTGATGTTGCACAGGATATCCCCTTTCTCTTTCTAGAATACTGGATTATGGGATCAAGCTGCCCTGAAAGTTCCCTGTTCTCAATCCAGGAGGTTGAGGTTCAGTAATTCTCACCATTCGATTCGCGTGGTTTCTATTTCCTTGGCTGTCATGTGACTGACAGCGTAGATACCTCAGCCACTGGATCTCCTGGGCTTGATCCCTTGGTCCCTTGGTTCCCAGAGACTACTGGGTCAGGAACCGTACCTTGGAATTACATGGATGAAGATGCACGAAACTCCAGTGTATTTCTACCCCAGCATAATCATTACTGGCTTTGGAGTGTGGGGAAGGGTTAAGAATGGTATCCTTGGGGTTCAGATATACCTTATTTCCACTGTCTCTAGTCCTACAAAAAAGAGAAAAGAGCAAAAAAGCAAAAATGGGCCATATGTACTCATTTATTTACGCCTCCTATATTTATCTGCCCATTACTCACAATGGGGAAACATTTCTCTTATCTCTAATTGTCTAACAAGAGTAGAGGGTTCTTTGGTTGCTGATCTGGTTGTGATGATGTACAGATTGCATTTCCAAGTGAATCCTAAGAAGCTCACCAGCTGCTTCACAGATGTTTGATGTTCTTGACTGGTAGGGTCCTCATTGAAAATTTGTTTCTAATTTAGAAGAAAAAAAAACGTTGCTCACATGAATTCAAATTTCTTGGCCCATTGTATTCCCTAAGGGGCTAATGTCCTGGATCTCCCTCCCCCCAACTTATTCTTTGTTCTATACTCATTCTTCAGAAAAATGTTAGTAAATATCCCCACAAATAAGCCTTTGGCAATGAGTCCCTTTTACAGGTCAGCACAGAGGTGTGGCTTCTCCTACAACAGGAGTTCCAGCAAAATCCTAACCAACCAAGTAAAGCCTAGTCACTGACCTATCTTCCATGAGGTGCCAAGTGGTATGTCTGAACCTTTCAAAGGAAGATACAGAGTCCCAAACAAAGGCTGGCCTCCTTGTAAGCTCGCCAAGCTGATCAGAAAACTCCTCTAATCATCTCCCTACCCCCAAGGTTTTTTTTTAGATAAACTTCTCTATGCTACTTGAACTAATGAAATTGATATTTTTAACCCAAAAGTAATATTTTACATGTTATTATATTTCTTCTTATTCTATTCAGCCTAAAGTCTTAGGTTTGGATCCTGACTCTATCATCCACTGCGTTACCTAGCCCTCCCAGCTCTGGGTCATCTGAAAAATTGATGATGCTACCCATGTCGTTAATTCAACTCATTGTTAAAAAGGTTACACAACACTGTCAAAATGCAGCTCTCTGGGGCATTCAGCTGGGAGTCTTCCAAGTTGGTATTAAACTATTAATAGCTATTCTTTGAATCTACCATGTAACAATGATCAAATCCATCTAACTGTACCATTATCTAGCCTAGGGCTTCTTAAACTTTTTCCACTCACGACACTTTCAGTGCTTCTTAAATTATGGGACCCTGTATTCTAGCCTACCTATCTTCATCTTTTCCATAAGAATCTAATGAAAGACTTTATCAAACACTTTACTAAAATTTAAGTATGTTGTCATTTTTCAGTTGGCGTCTGACTCTTCATGACCCCATTTGGACTTTTCTTGGCAAAGATGCTGAAGGATTTGGCCATTTCCTTCTGCAGTTCATTTTACAGATGAGGAAACTAAAGCAACAAGGTTAATTTGCCCAGGGTAACACAACTAGTAAATGTCTGAGGCCATATCTGAACTCAGGAAGATGAGTCTTCCTGACTCTATCCACTGTGCTACCCAGCTGCCCCTAAAATTTAAGTACATATGTATTTAAATATGTATGTATGTGTGTATGTGTGTATATGCACATACACTTTTGTATATGTGTATATGTATCTATTTAAAATGCACTCAGGTACATATACCATTCCTTTGATCTCACAGCTGGGTAACCATGTCAAAAAATGAAAATTTAGTCTAGTCTGACCTGTTCTTGAAGATATGCTAGCTCTTTTAAAGCACTCTTTCCTTTTCTAGATATCATTAGCCACCTCTTTAATAATAAATTCCAGAGAAAAGCAATTTGAAATCGAGCTAAAAATGTCCATGTGCTCTGATACAAACATTCCCCTGGTCGGTGTACACTATACTTCAGAGGAGCCCATTTTTTTTCAGATCTCATAGACACCAACATATCTACAGCTGCACTTTTTGGGGCAGCAAAGAACTGGAAACTAAACAAATGCCCTTTGATTGAAAAATGGCTGGAAAAAAAGTTGTATAAAATAAGTGTCACATTTCTGTGCTGTAAGAAATTCTGAATATGATGAATTCAGG